TATGTCACCGAGACCTTCTCCTAACTTCCTCTTCTTTGTGAAGTGACATAACCATATACAGAACTAAGATCATCAGTCCTCATGTGATTCGGGTTCCCCCTTTTATTTATGGAAAACAAGTGTTTGCAGTTTTTAGTATTTCACTCTCAGCTGCCTTTTCCCTCCCACCCCTCTTCCAAGCTGAAAGATTTTTAGCGATGTATCTCATCATGGTCCAAAAATCTCAGTGCTCCATCATTTTCATCTGGCTGGGATTTCTTCCACAGCCTGGCTCACTGGTCCCTAGAATCACAAGGACAATAGGACTGGTGACCAAGAGAGAAAGGGGAGGTGAATCCCAGGCAAGCACTGCCAGCTCACAGAGTTAACCCAACGGCAGTTTCACCGTAGCCCAAGACTGAAGCCTGATTCTGACATTTCATTTTCTAAGATGAATTATATTCTACCTCTCACCATAAGAAATACGATTTTCTTCTGACATATTTTCCATTATGTTGTCCTCTTTGCCTAAAAACTGTCAAAGGCTCCCTGATGCCAAATGGACCAAATTCTAGCCCACATGATTCAGCATTCAGGGGCTTCACCCTCTGTTCCCAGCCTGCTTGCTGGCTCTACCTCCCTGTCCTCTGCGATATAATCCCCCCTTCCAGATTAGTAGTTACCCATCAGCTCCCCAAAAACACCTGTGCCTTCTAGGGTCCACGCCTCTGTCCTCTGGCAAATGTTCTGGATTGGTCTTAGGACAGCCACTGCCAGGCCCAGGACTTGGCACACATTTGGGACATAGAAATCTTAACTAAATGATGAAAATGTAAATATGACAGGCATCTGAAAACTAACTTTATGCCTTTCATAGTCTGACCTAATGGTTATTCAATCAGGTCAAGTAATACTGGGCCCAATGGGGATGATACAACTTTTCTTTGACGATCACACAAGGCCTTGTGTTTTACATTTCAGTGTCTTGGTGCTTCTATATTTAATATGGAAATGTTTCCTTCTTCTCCTAAAACATCTGAAATCTTATCTTAAAGCAGACAGCATTCTAGAATCAGGTGATTGCGGTGAGCGGCTTGCATTGTCTCCTCGTGGGGCTGTCAGAGTTGGTAGCTGTGCCGCTGCCATCTGCCCGGCCATTCATCAAGCCTAGACCCTCCGAGGGCTCCTCCTTAGCGCCTCCTTGCTTTGTGGCTCACTACCACACAATATGCTACAGAGGCAGAAATAGGAGACTGGCAATGCCCATGGCGGACAGCTCTTAACAAACACATCAAGGACAAGCAAGAGCCGTGGAACGACTATCCTAGAACTTTCCAAGTGGCCACACACAAGCCATCAACCTGCTCTCCCTTACTACCCTGACCTGCCACAGCTGCAGCTCTTCTACATATGATAAAAGTCAAGTCTGCTCTAGTCTCTGAAATCACCGTCTCACTTCCCCTTTATCCCTTCCCTTGGAAATCATCTAAAAAGGGCACTTGTCTTGTGACGCAGGTCTGTCCTCTCCTCCGCAGTGTCACTCAGAGATGAAACCTAGATCCTCTTTCGATATGCATCAACACAGGCTGTGGGGGCTCCCAGAACAATACGAGATGGAGATATGTTTCCCTTGTGAGTGACCACTCATCATTAGCAGTGGCCAACCTCACCCACGCCTAGACGCTCCGTGCACCCAATGCCATCCTGCCCCGCCAGACCTACTGTAGCCTCATGAAAGAGAGCACGGACCAGGCCACCCCACGAGAAGCACAGACTGGCCCCTGAACGGATGGTCTTCCTCCAGGCAGACATGGAATTGTGCAATGATCTTCTTATGCTAGAATCTAATCAGAGGTCACGGCCGTTGGTAGAAGAGGGCTGGACCAAAGCCTATGTGCATTATAACATCTCAAAACATCTCCAACAACCACAATCTATTCATGATCTTAACTGCTAAACTGGATGCATATACTGCATTTTCTTTTTCTTCTCAATCATTCACTCTGCTCTAAAGGGTACAATACAGGAAGGGATGAGAGGAGGTCCCATTCTTGGATCCCAGTTGGGAAGAGAAAGAAGAGTTGGGCTAACTGGAATGGGGCTACCAGCGCCCACTCTTGGCTCCACCTTTGACCCCAGGCCCCGTGCAAGTCTAGATTATATTCCTCAACCCCAACCCCCTGTCTTTGTATCTTGGAGACACAGAGAATAAGATGGACATTGTTCCTTCCCAACTCACCCTAATGTTGCAAACACTAACTAGACGCCGTCTGCTTTGAGTCTTCTGGTAAAAGGCACATGAAAAGAAACACATAGTTTACATGGGTTCTTTTGTTCACTGAAAGTAATCAGCGCTAACTGGACAGCGGCAGAATGCTCCACGGTGCCAGGGAACGGAGTGGTAAATGGATTTTTTAATCGTGAGTCATTATAACCGTAATTGTCGTACGCAGAAAACCTGCAAGAATGTGATTCAATCTGGCGGACAGAGAAAACCCACACTGCAAAAGACTCTCTGCTTACTTGTCCGGCACACTGCCCACAACTGTGCACAGTGGTTTTACCAACTACCCTACTGATGATGCAGTGAGGTTGGCTGTGGTCACCAGGCTTAAATTCCCTACTTTATAACTACCTCTAAAGCTTCACGGAAACATTTTGCAAGAAAGTTGTGGGTGAAAATGACAAGATAATCTTCTGTAAAACAAAGAATTTCAGTATTGCACCACTGGCTTTATTTCCAGAACATTACCGTTTTTGTTGTACAAGCACAATTGATGCAAAAAAGTATAATTACTGGGTTGGAAAAAAAAAATATCTACAGAATATGCTGAGATCTATTAAAAAGAGCTTGAAAAACAAAGCGTATCACTTTCAAGGTATCTGATTAGTTTACTGAAATAGCACAGCTCTCCTATCCACCACGACTCCATCACAGTTTCTTTCTTGAACAAATAAATTGGGCATGATTTTTCAATGACTCTATTCCATGGACCAACAGAAAAAATAAAATGCCAAGAGACTGTTGTCTTTTTTCTTAGCAGAGCTTTGAGAGCCCTTCAAGGTAAAGTTTGTAAGAACTATGTTCAACAAACAAGCACATACATTATAGGGTTACATCACCAGCTGACATCCAAGGAAAAGCCAGAGGTTAATCGCTCTGGTTTACTACATCATTCCAAATGACCCTGTGCAAGATTTAACTTGACAACTGTCTGAACTTTACAGTCTGAAATTTCATCTACTTGTTTCATGAGTACTTTGCAATTATTCCCCTGGGGATATTAATATTGTTTTCCCTTTTTAATTAGCCTGGAAAGGATCATGGTTTCATGTTTTCCCCTCCTTTTAGATAACCAAGTCCCTGCCTGGCTAGCCCAAAGACACTTTCATTTTCTTTAAGGAATTAAGATAGAAAACAGAAATAACAAGACAGACCTCTAAGAACTTAGGCTGTGGAGCCAGACTGCTGGATTCAAACCCCAACTCTAGCCAGCTGTGTAACAGTGAGTAGGTTACTTCAGCCCTAAGGCTGTTTCCTCATCAGTGATAGGATTTCTCTCTTAAGTCCACTGGAACTGCTGATGCATGAAGACATTTACCTCAGAGCATGGCAGGTGGTGACTACCCAAATAATACTGGTTTTCCAATATTTCTGTTTAAATATTATTGTTTTTACAAGGGAATAATTTTGGAATTGCTGTCGTCTCTGATCCCACAGTGACTAAGGTCGAAATGAAGCAGGAATAATAACAAACCTATTTGCATACACAACACAGGGCCCCCGGGCCTCAGCACCATTTTCACTGTGCATAATCACAAAAGGTTGGCCTGAATTCACTGAGCACCTTTGAAACGAACGGGGCAAACACTGGGTGCCCTGCAGGAGACACAAAAGCTGTGGCACTGTCCCTAAGGAACTGACAATCTGGTTAGGAGAGGACACACACACACACACACACACAAAGAGATAATGGCCCTAGGCTGACTTATTAAATGGCTAGATACTTGTGTAGGTTCTTACAGCATCTTTTATGGTGGACAGAAGAAAACCCAGCGTTTGGTGGAAAACTACAAAGGCACAGAGATTGCCGGCAAGGTAGGATGACCAATCAGTGAGCTAACCAATGCAAGGCTGGGATATCATAGTCACTGGGCTTCAACCCAAGGTGCCACTGTGGCAGTAACCTCATTAAAGGTGCTGAGCAAAAAAATATAAATAAACCAGTGACAGCAAACAGTTGGGTTGCTTGGGTTTGCAAGGCCACCACAACCACAATCTTAGAAGCTGAAAAGGTTAGAGTTGAGAGGAAACCTTAAAAAAGCGTCAATCTGACTCACTCCTCTCGTGGTAGGGTAGATGATACTGCGCTTACACACGAGGACCCTCCAATGCACCATCACAGAAGCCCTCCCTACTGGAACTTTCAGAATGCTCAGAGGGAGAAGGAGAAAGGGATGGGGGAGGAGGCCAAGGGTTTCCCAGAAAGGGGATGACTGGCAGATAGCTACCATCCAATAAAAGAGCCTACATTGGCTTCTATCCGGTCATCCTTCCCCTCAAATTGCCGCCTCCCTTCTCCCCAAATGTATGAGCACCGCAGTCACCAAACAGCAGAAATAATAAATCCGGAGACATGCCTCACGGCCAGTGTCAAATCTTCACCAGCTGCCTTCTCCCTGGCCTGCTGACTACAACCACAGGTGGCCCCTAGAATTAATCCAAATAAGAGATTCTCTGCTCTCCAAAACGTCTTATCTGGATCATTCATCTCAGGCCACCTTTAGAGGCAAGAAGATCTGAGGTTCCCAGGGGAACCACATCTATGTCAGCCTGTACCTGGATGCGGATGAGCTTAAAGTCTCGATGGGAGAGGCATGTGCGAAGACCCGGTACCGAGTGCAGTTACGGGCGATGTCCCCGACCCCCCAGCCACAGAAGGGCACCGGCCCGAGGGAGGTGGTTCCCCCTCCTGCAATTAAACCACCAAACCCTAACCCGCCAGCCTGGCCGCACTTACCTTGGCCCAGGAGACCGCGTAGGGGACCTGAGGGTCCCAGTGGGCAGTGCAGGGCAAGTCCACATCCTCCGAACAGGCCACCTTCACCTCCCGCGCCGCGGGTGCCAGGCTGCATGCTGCAAGAGGGAGAGAGAGCTGTGTGAGCAAGCGAGAAAAGGGGGTGTTGCGGGGAGGCGGGCAGGGGGCGCCGGGCGTCCGCAGGCCCTACCGCAGCTCAGGAGCAGGAGCTGGAGCCCGCGTGACATCGCTGAGGACTGCCGGCCTGGGGCCCTGGCGCCGGCTCTTATACCCGCGCTCACCAGGGACTTCCCCGGGCGCCGGTCCCGGGGGATCCCCGCGGGCGGCGGAAGCGGCGGTGCACCTCCCCCGCCCCCGCGGCGGCCACCCGGAGAGCCCCGGCCCCGCCCCCGAGCTCGGCCCCGCCCCCGGGCCCGGGCCCGCCCCCTAGCCCGGCCCCGCCCCCCCGGGCCCGGCCCCTCCCCCAATCTCCCGGCTCCGGCCCCTTCCCCGAGCCCCCGGCCCGCGTTGCTGGTGGTGATGCTGTTGTGACCTCTACCCGACCGCGGCGACCGCAGTCCCGGCGGAACGCGCCGCTCCCGGGGCTTGGCAGCCGCGCGCGCACACGCCGGACACCCTGTAAACAGAGGCGGGAGCCAGGCCAGCCGGGGCTGTTAGGTCCTTTGAGTGGAAGCGAAACCATGTTCTGAATGGATGAGCTACTCCATCACGGTGAACCCAGGTCCTCGCACTTGTCCTGGTTCCATGATCATGAGACTCGGTTTTCCCAGGCACCCGGCAAATCCGTCATACTTCGCCCCCCGCCCCACTCCGGCCTGCTGGCGTTGTCCATCCATAGCATCAAGGCTGTTTAAATTATTTCAGCAAAGGACAACCTCTCCTATTAAAACAAAGGTTATACACACAGAGAGAGGGAGAAAATGTATAAGAAAGATTTCTTTTAAATCCAGACTAAAAATAGAGATTGCCTCTGACCAACCAGAAATAACCTCTGGTTACATTTTGGAGTCTTTGCTTTAGTGCATAGATACTCCACATGCTGTTTGTAACCTAATTCATATTAACTTCATATTTGCAAGAGCTTCCACATCATTAAAAGGATTCAACAGCATCATTGTTACCGCTGCATAATAGTCCATCTGACAGTTGTTTGATAAATTAGAACCTACTAGTGTTACACATGCTTAGTCTAGGGTTATTAGTCTAGATAGTATTAGTTATTTCTTTCACTATTATTAAAACAGCACTGTGATTATTATGATGAACTTCTGTGTAGATAAAACTTTGCTTCATAATGTATTACATAATATGATATATTTTCTTAGAATAAATACCTAGAGGACAATGTACCAGGTCAAAGGGAATTCATAGCTTTGTTAAATATTGCTGAAATTACCTCCACAGAGGTGTCCTCACTCTTCATTCCCATCTATGGTGCATGAACATGCCTGTCTCCCAACACTTGCCAATACAAACTGCTAGCTAACTCTTCCACCTTTGTCCACTCGAGAAGTTCAAAAGAATGGCAGAATTCGACGTTTTCATTTGCCCTGAACGTGGCTCTACCAACTGACAGTCACACAAGCTCTGTGTAAGTGCCTTTCCCCCTTAACCCCCACTAAAATTAGTTTCAATTAAGACATTTTTAAAGATATAAAATTAGGTACAGAAAAGAAAATAGTCAAACATATCTGTATGCAATAGACTCTTTTTTAATTGTATTTTTATTTAGTGACAAATTAATTTTTAATATTTATTTACTTTTGGCTGCGCTGGGTTTTTGTTGCCGTGAGCAGGCTTTCTCTAGTTGTGGAGGGCAGGCTTAGATGCACTGGCTTCAGTAGCTGTAGCATGCGGACTCAGTAGTTGCGGCTCACAGGTTCCAGAGAACAGGCTCAAGAGTTGTGATGCAAGGGCTTAGTTGCTCTTCAGCATGTGAGGTCTTCCCTGACCAGGGATGGAACCGGTGTCCCCTGCATTGCAGAGTGGATTCTTAACCACTGGACCACCTGGGAAGCTCTAATAGCTTCTTAACTAAACATCTGTCCCTTGGTAGATCCCATACCTGCATTTAAGCTTTCTTTCCATTCTTCAGTTTTTACAAACAGTGTTGCCTGGAGCTGGAGATCCTTTAATCTGGTCCAGCAATTCCACAACTTTATTAGATATTGCCATCTTGTTCTCCAAAATGTATGTGCCCATTTATACTCTCCTCCACAGAGCTTGGCATCATCAGATTCTTTTTAGTTTTTGCCAGTCTAATTAATATGAAATATTAGTTCCCCTTTGTTTAACCTACATGCCATTGATTACTAGGACAGAGGAAAATTATTTTTTATCTTTCAAAGCCATTGGGTGTCCTCACATCATTTGGCCTTTTCCACTGGAGCTGTTTATAAATTGGGGGCAAAATCCTTTCTTGGTACAGTGTGTGCCAAAGAGCTTCTCCAAGTCTAAGTTTTGTATTTCTCACTTTATGATGCCTTTAATGTACAAAAGGACTTTTTAAAATATTTTAATGTAGTCAAATTTATTGGTTTTTTAATTCATGGTTTATGCTTCTGGTGTTATGGTTAAGAAATCTTTTCCTACCCTGAGATCATAAGAATATTCTCTTTTATTTTCTTCCAAAACTTTTTAAAGTCAAGTCATGCTTTCTCATATGTAGGTCTTTAATCCATTTAACTATGGTTTGATGTAGGGATCTAAATTATTTTTTCCATATGGATAACCAATTGTTCCAATGCTGCTTGCTTAAAGTCCTTATTTCCCCACTGAAGTTGAAATAGCATCTCTGTTATATACAGATTTCCATATGTGTGTGGACCTGTCTCTGGACTCTATTCTGTCTCTCCCTGTGCTAATGCGTGCATGCTAAGTCGCTTCATTCACGTCTGACTCTGCAATCCTATGGACTGTAGCACACCGGGCTCCTCTGTCCATGGGATTTTCCAGGTAAGAATACTGGAGTGGGTTGCCATTTCCTTCTCCAGGGGATCTTCCTTCTGCAGGGATGGAACCTGCGTCTCCGATGTCTCCTGCATCAGCAGGTGGTTTCTTTACCACTGTCACCACCTGGGAGGCACCCTGTGCTAATATCACTTTCTTTATTGCTTAATTACACTAAAGTTAGTATTCCTAATGGAAAACCCCATGGACAGAGGAGCCTGGCAGGCTACAATCCACGGGGTCACAAAGACTCGGACACAACTGAGCAACTAACACTTCTCTCTTAAGTGTTCCTATGGTGGTGGAGTGAGTGAGCCCACAGATGTTGGTTGTCCTGGCAATTCTTGGTTCTTTGCTCTACCTTACACACATTAGAATCAACTTGTGAACCTCAAAAAATCTAGTTTGAATTTTAAGAAGAATACATTTCAATTCATAAATCACAGAAAATTAACATCTTTTAGATATCAATTCTACAAATCCATCAGTATTATCTTTTCATTTATTTAGGTCTTCAGGAATTTTCTAAATTTCATACATAAAAATTTTCTGTCTTTTGGTCAATGTATTCTGAGGTACCTTTATATCTGAGGGTGCTATTTACACATGGATAGTTTCTAAACTAAGTTTTCTAGTTGCTTGTTGCCAGTGAATAAAAATTTACTTTTGTGTAGCCAGTGACCTTGCCAAACTTTCTTATAATATTGACAATTTGGGACTTTCCTGGAAGTCCAATGGTTAAGACTTTGCCTTCCAACGCAGAAGGTGTGAGTTTGATCCCTACTAGGGGAGCTAAGGGGCTTCCTAGATGGTGCTAGTGGTAAAGAACCCTCCTGCTAATGCAGGAGACATAAGAGATGTAGATTCCATCCCCGCGACAGGAAGATCCCCTGGAGGAAGGCCTGGCAACCCTCTCCAGTACTCTTGCCTGGAGAATCCCATGGACAGAGAAGCCTGGAAGGCCGTGGTCCATACAGTCTCAAAGAGTTGGACACGGCTGAAAGAAGTTAGCACACAGCACGGGGAAGCTAAGATCCCACGTGTGGTCAAAAAACCAAAGCAGAAACCATGTTGTAACAAATTCAATATAGATTCTAAAAATGCCATATAAAAAATCTTTTTAAAAATGGATTTGTTCTTAGACTCTCCATTAAGACACTTTTATAGACATGAATTACTTAAGGGATTTTTTTCCCTCCAAAATTCCAAAGATGAGGTTTGACTGAATCATTACCACTGGAGTCTAACAGTTGAGTATGTTCAAGAATGTGGTCTGTGTGATTCTTTGCTGCTTATCAAGAAATGCTTTGGACCTAACATGTGGTTTTTCGATGTACGTGTCATGTGCTCTTGAAAAGAATGTGCGTTTGCCACATGGGTGTCTGATCAACCTTGCTCGTTGAGTTACTCAGGTCTATAGCCCTACTTTTTGTCATCTTAAACTGTCAGTTACTGAGAGACGTGTCCCAAAATCCCCCTATGACTATGAAATTGCCCATTTATCTCTGAAATTTTATCAATTTGTTGCCTCATATAAGTTGATGCTAGGTTCTTCTAGTAGAATGTGTCCTGGACCATGCTAGTAATTTAAATTTAAATATTGTATCTTTGTAACCGGCACTTCTATGATTATAAATTAATAAATTAAGGGAGAGGCTTTTGATTTTTTTTTTTTAAAAAAAAAAAGCTTCTCTGTCATCTCACTGAGTGAGTAGGCAGTTGTTTTCAGTTCATCCCTACATTGTTGCTGGGGGTGGCGGAGGGGGACTGAGTTTCATCTTTCTGCTCTCTTGGGGTCCAGGTTTCCTCTCCTCTACCTGCTGTTATTAAGCCCTGAGTCCCTTAATTCCTCGGCCAGTTCTGAAGCCCAAACAGCTGCCTTTCCCGCCCGTACCCCCCCACTCTCTTACCCTGTCCCTGCCCCCACCAAGAAGCCCCAGCCCTGTCAGTTCCTGCCGGCTCACAGCTGTCTCTTCATTTTTCACCCTCTGAAATGCCCTTACTCTATTGCAGGTGCAGCTAGATATTGGTTTGTATTTATTCGTTATTTCTATACATTTGCAAAAGGTGGGACTTCTTTTGCATTACACAGGAAACCATGTTCCTAAAAATAGAACTTGCCAGTCTGTTATTTAACAGTCTAAAATGTGGCTTCCCAGCAGCTCCCACCAAACCCACTGAATTACCCACGTTCATTTTCATCCTTATGGTATTCTTCCTCATCTTCTAAAAAGTCCCTCATACTGAGGTATGAACATATTTCTGAGAAGGCTGCTCC